GCCACCCACTGCCACCCTCTGCCACCCAAGCATATCTGGCAGCTACGGGCACGCCTGGACCATGATTGGACCAGGCCCAGAGCGGATCATTCTTTCCCCGACTTGTCTGGGTCCTTAGGTCCCTGGCCGGGCTCCCTACTCCCTATCGTACAACCTCGTAAGCCCTTTGGGGGTGCCCCAGTTGATGCCCGTAGTGGCTACAGGCTATCGCTATTCGGCGAGTGTCACTGGCTTAGTCCGGGCTAGAAACCCACCCAAGGAGCCATTTGCAACTAGGCCGACATGCTAGTTTGACTCCTGCGTCTCGGTAGCTGACTGACCACCATGCAAGTACGCAACTTATCGCACAAGTGCTCACCAGAGTCACCACAAGCACCACAAGCAACCACGAGTCACCAGCTCATGGGGAGATGAAGGTCTTCGAGAATTCTTTTCAATCAAACAAGGAAAATACACCCTGGGTCCCGCCAACACCCAAAACAGCTTCTTGTCCCATGGATTTGTTATTTTCCCTTTCGATTTCATCTGCTGCCATTCCTGTTTCAGAGGAAATTCATTCCCTAATAACGCAATATTGCTATCCACCGCTAACGGTCCATTTCCCCTCTGTCTATCTCTATTTTCTCCCTCCCACTACGCCCACCCCCCCTCCAAAAACTCAACTCATCCACTCACAACTTGCCTGCGGTGCCCTGCTCCCTTACTAGCGCGATCCTCAGAGGCTGTTAGCTCTGAGATTAGCAACAGCGTCGCGACCTTCCTAGTGGCCCAGCTGATTCATCACCGCCACCACCCCGTCACTAGCTGGTCACCACAAGTTCCGTCCCTCTCCAGCTTCCACTCCTTCTTCCCACAGACATCCGTTTCCTACCAGTATAGCCATTGGGATGCCATGGGATACGTTGGATATGACGGAAAAACACAGTAAGCTCGCATATTAGAGAGTCAATGACATCGACCCGCGTGGCTTGGGCGTCTACGAGGAGGGTTCTCATATCCGCACAAATCCCATCCTCTTCCTCCCTTATATCGGAGTGCACCGGTGTTGCCGGCGTTTGCTGTCATGACTCGTACCACCCCAGCCGAGCTCGGTCCCAATCTGCCAGCGAATAACAGAAAGCCCAGAGAACTGCAGAGAGCGTTACCAGAGGATCCTTCCAGAGTATGAGGTACAAATGTACTCGGTACATACGAGTTTCTCATATGAAATGGAATCGCCGACCCACAACAGCCTCGTTCCACTTGACTTATTCATCAGCACACCATCATGGGAATCTTGTTCTCGGTACAGCACCTCATACACCCTCAAGGTGGAATCTCCTTGCCGTTCCAGTCCCAGCATTTCCCCCGGCTACTTTCCTCCAACCCGTTGACGACGTCGATCAGCCTCTGTGCACTGAATTCGGGGCTGAACAGCTTTTCTGGGGGTGTACTGTTCCAAAAGTCCTTGCTTAGACTAGTCTTGACCGTTCCTGGATGCAGGCCGATGCACATAGCCCTATGGCTGTTCTGCATTGACAAATAAATGTCCGTGGATTTGACCAGTTGATTGACTCCAGCCTTGGACGCCCGATAGCTATACCATCCTCCTAATCGATTATCCGTAATTGATCCGACTCTGGCACTCATAAGTGCCAGTATAGCCAGTTTGGGTAATCCGTCGTCAACCAGCATGTTTGTTGACTTCCGTGGGAGGAAGACCGCGAAATGTTTCACTAGCATCATGGGGGCCAGCAAGTTGAGCTTGAGTGTCTCCAGCGCCGAGTCATGATCAATCTTATCTGGTGCCTTTTCGGGCCTCAACATGCCAGGCACCAACAGTCCCATGCGAAGATGAGCGTTCTTTTCGTTGGGTTTGTCATGGTATCGATCCTTGCAGTACCGAGCTAACCTGGATATTGAAGCTTCGGACAGCACATCGCACTCCTGCACGTCGAGGCGTGATGTTTGTGGTCCGGACAATTTCAGCGAGGAGAGAAGCCGCTCCTTGACGCCGGCCAGGTCTGTACGAGCCGTCGCAACAATGGGCACACTCGCAGGCAGCGTGCGAAGCAGGTGACGGGTCAAGGCGAACCCAATCCCTCTCGATGAGGGAGACACGAGCGCCCACGCCATGGCCTTGGCCAGTGTTTTGTCGTCGATGAATGCAGGTATTTGATTGAATGCGTGTGTGGTGTGGCTCCGGGTGCAGATCCGCCGTACCAGTGTTTCCTCGCAGACCTTGTCAGATGTGTGCCATCATTTCAGACAATTTATCTCCCTTTTTTCGACATGTTGCCCGCGGATTCGGAGTAAACCAGCTCGTAGTAATCTCGATTTCTGGTTTCCTCGTTCACAATCGACCTGACCTCCCTTGCTCATCCGGGAGAAGAGGCTATAAAGATCCGTCCGAGGAGAGACAGGGAAGTTACCAGTTAGACTATAGGTAACGATCGGTCCTAGGTAGAAAGAGGCTGTCTTTGTCTTTGTCTGTTGGCCTGTGTCCTGTCCTGCAGAGCAGAGAACTCTGCCAGCGCCCAGAAATGGTGGGACGTTGATGATAGTAATCAATAGTGATGATGTCGACGATTCTCCCCCGTTCCCCCCTCTTAAAAGTAAAAAAAAACCCTCCCAAAACGTTACTACGCGTATGCATGCAAGACAGAACCTCGTTCAAGATACCTACCTAGGTAGGTATGTAGTCAAGGGGGTTTCTCGAAAAAGGAAAGCAGAAATCTTGGAATTCTATCCAATTCGTCATGTTTGGTCGTTATCTAAAATGTCAAGGTATTGAATGGTTATATATATAAAACAGGCCCCTCCCCCATATCACCGCTGTCATCGCCTGCAATATCTCCCAATTGTCAATTGTCAATAGTGAGTGTTCAGGGTTTTGCCTTGCTTGCTATAGTTCAAAACTCCAATGTGGTCACAAAAGTCCTTTCTAGCAGCGCTGGTCTGTAGTACACACAGAATTTCAACAAGAATCTCGTGGCCATTCCACCTCCCTACCTTCGTTCTCATGACCCCCTGAAAGAATGTATCGAGGTCCCCCCTGTTCCCACTTCTCTCCGTTCTTCCCTAGCCCTTTGCAGGTCTCGGGAGGTCCCCACACCTCTTTCTTACTCGTACACCAATCGTCCAAATGCGTTGCCTTTAGATAGGTCCAAATCCTCTCTTCTCATCGATCAGCCTGTATCGTTCCTTCTCCTTTCGATCCTTGATCAAACACAATGCAGCCAACAGGAGCATCATATCGACAGCGACAAATCCAAAGAATGTGGTGAAGACGACGTCCAGGAATCGATTCGCAAAGGTGCCAAAGGGCGTCATGCAAGGGCCCAGCCTTGCCGCCGTGGCTGCACTGGTACAAGTCTGGTCTTTGACGAACAGCGCGGGATTGCTGTATCCACAGCATTGGAATTTGCTCTGTAGCATGGTCTGAGTGGCGGGTGCTTGGGCATTCCAGATGGGAGCGAGGTTCTTCTTGGTTTGGAGGGTGGAGAACCAGATGTCCAGACCGATAGCCAGGGTAAGGACGGCAGCAACCACCACTCCCCAGGCATGGAATTTCAAAAAGGTGCGGTTGCGCCGCATGAAAAAGGCGGGAACAGAGAGGAGGAAGGCGATCAACATGATGACGGAGTTGACTATGCTCACTGTTGCAGTCCATAGTTAGTCAAAGATACTCGGGGAATCCAGATACGCAGGTGGGACTACCTGTAAGTGGGCAATTGTCGAGTAAGAGGTTCGACGCAATATTGTTGACATTGTTGTTATGCTTGATATTCATGCGGGTGTACAGTGGGATGAAGAGATGGAGGCCCGCGCAGAGGAGGAAAATGACGTCGAAGACGATAAAGACCAGGAGGATTTTGTTCGCCATCGCCGTCGCTGTTGGATTCTTCAAGTCTCGAGGAGTGTCAAGCGGTAATGTAAAGCTGTTCTTCTGCGGTAAATGTAAAGAGTGTCGAAAGGAAAGGGCGAGACCTGCTCGAAGGACGCTGTCGATCTAGTCGAACAGGAGGAAAAATGAAGCTCTAGAAAACGGACCAAGTGAATGTACGGGTAGTCGAAGAAAAGAGAGCAAAGTCAATTGAAACGCACAACGCGACAGATAAAGAGGAAAATACACGACGCAGGTCTAGGGAGACTCGAGTTTGTGTCAGGAGGGTTCGGTTGGTTGTGGTTGAAGCTCATGGTCGCAAGGGGGCGCATCAGGATACACAGGCGTTTCAGACTTGCTCCACTGAGGGTGCGTGTCCTCGATCTTTGTCCGTACCAGAATCCCACCTTATAATTCGCACTGAGAGGCCCTCGAGGGGTCAGCTTCTCTTGCATTGATTCTTCGACGCACATGCGCCGAAGAACGGCGAGACTGAAGACATTATTGAACGCAGTATGTGGGGGATGAAAGGAGGTTGAAGGAGAAGATATTTACAAGCGGAGACTGGAGAGTCACAATTGGCATGGCGCAGTTTCGGTCACCGGCTCGGCATAACATTTATCCATATCAATCCACCCATCTCCTCGATCAACCTCCTTGGGCTTGATGGTGCTTCATACGAACAATCATCTAGAGGTGTTGTACATAGATGAGTTTCTTGTGGCATGCTTGCTGTTATTGTTCTCCTTCCGACAATCCCTCCCTCGCCTACATGACTACTTTTGTGCACGATTCCTCCAAATACCAACCAGTGAAGTTTGCCTCTGAACCTTCTTTTGAATATACCAACCCAAGTCCTCATTGTCCGCCTGGTTATACCGAATACAACCCTGTGTATCGTCCAATATATTGGGCCCTCGTCAATGCCCAAAATAGAAAACTCGTCCTGGCGCCGCCCAATGGATCACTACCACCATCTCCCGGAAACAAAACCGCAGCACGACACCAACATCATGGTGGACTACCATTTCCTGTCTTTTGTGTCCTAGTGTACAAAGATTGCGTTATACATTAATTCGTCAGTGGACCGCGTCGCATATTGGCCGTCGATAAATGATGAGACGGGAATCGAAATTTAGCCCATCGTTCGAGTCCCTGCCAATGGCGCTGCGTCGATACTGGGCGAACCGTGTTCTTTTGTGATCATCATAGTTGGCCAGTCAAGCTGTTCCTGCCACGTATCCGGGATTGATTCCTTTACCGTCTCGAGCATGTACTTGGCCCATCCCTTGATGAACCAGTTGTCCTCATGGTGGGTCTCTCCCCAGTATATGAGAACACAATAGTGTGCAAGAATGACCATGGCCTCCGGCTGCTTCTCTGCCAGAAGATCAAGAAACTTGGGGGGTAGGTTGATCGGCCACACGAACGTTGCTAGAACAGTGCCATCGCCCCGGGTTTTTAGTAACGAAGCTTGGATAAAAGTGCTGAGAAGCGAGTGAATCGCCAGGTCGATAGCTTGCGCTGTCTCCTTGTCGTGGTCAGAGGAACTGCAAACCCGGAATAATTTAGTAATCTGGTCGGTATCCGGAAATCTGTAGGCGGCAATATTGTCCATGTGTGCCATTTCATCTAGCAGCGGCTTCAGAAAGCTGGACCGGATTGTGTCATGGTGCATGTTCAGCACAATGTTTGCACCCCTCAATAGATAGAACCAATGTAGCACATCATGCGTAAAGTCTTCGGGCTTGTCTTTTGCACTGGAAGCAAACGCGAGCACGATCAGCAGGCAAGAGAAGGCAAAGAGTGCCTGGCAGTTAGTTTCGTCGACTCGGGCCAATGTTTCTTGGAACTCGGTCAAACCAAGGCTTTGATGCGTGGTCCCGATCAACTCATACTCGGCCTTCCGATCAGGAGAAATATGGGCAAGGTGGAAAGCTGAAACAGCTAGAATGCCTCGGAGAAGAAATTCGTGCTTCAGGCCCAGCTTAACTGCATGAACCTGCCACAATGCCCGCGCTTCGGGAGTGTTGGCATTGGCCAGGTCGAGCGCGACCACACTGGTGAAATGATGCATCAACCGAAGGTCAGTCACGTCAAGATCAGTGCTCTTTTTGGTGCTGACCAGATCAGGCTGTTGAAACGGATCGACTATTGGCTGTGTAGGCGTTCGCTGCGAACAACTGATCGATCCCGCTTGACTCCCTTGCCTTCGGATGTCGGGTGTCGCGGTGCTGGGGGATTTGCTGTTATCGGGCGTGGCCGAAAAGTCGCAGTAGATTTGGCGACGTTCGCAGTTGTTACACACCGGGTGCACCTCATTGCACTGCAAAGCGAGATCAGCATCTCATGTCCTATGGCGAAGTGTCTTGTTCGAACATGCTGACCTTGATCCGCCGGACCTTGCACTGACTGCACCCATTCTTCGACTTTGTATGCGAACGTCGCTGGTTTTTGGGCGGCATGGGATACAGCGGATTACCAACAGCAGTTCAGACCGTGGCTGGGTGTTTTTCTGTCGCCGGTCATGACAACAAGAACAACATCGAGTTCGCGACGGGTCTAGCTGACGGAGGGGGATAATTGTTTAATCGCAAAGTCATGCATAAGCCATTGGCTTACTATTATGGCAGGGGGGCCTGTCTAGATGGGCGCAGGATATAGGTGTACGACGATAGTGTTATAGTAATAGCAAAACAAAAAAAAAGCGATTGGGGAACGAGCAGGAGTCGATGGATGTGAGCGGGAACGGAATCCCCGAAGATCAGATCAGGCTCCAGAATTGCAGCAAATGATGCTGTTGGAGAAAAATTGTGGTTCGACTACGTGACTTGCCAAGTGGCCACGTGTTTCTGACTCAGCAAACAGTAATTCACAAGAGAAGCTGAAGAAGCTGAAGACGCAGCCGACACACCCCCAGCCACCTGAATCGGACCTGTATACGAGGTAGACCTACCAGTTCCTGGGTCTCCGCGCCTTGTTCTCTCGCTGCCTCTTCTCCTTCAGCACTGTCCTGCGTCGCAGCTTCCAAGAGCGATTGTTTTCGGCTCGATTCTCCCAGAACTTTTTCTCAAAATCACTCTGGGATCGGGATGTTCCCTCCTTGGTTTGTTCCTTCAACCCAAGACTGGCCCCCAACTCGGCTTTGTCAGCTTCCTCCTCCTCGTCCTCTTGTGGTGCCTCATCTCCAGGTAGTTCAGAACTGCCGTAACTATTGAATCGACTAGGATGTGCGGTATCGGGCGTTGGAGCGGCGCTTCGTAGTCCACGATAGCGGATGTCCTGAGAGCTGAACGGTGTCAATGGGACGACAGGCTCTTCTGCGAGATCTTCAGGATCGCCCGATTCAAAAAAGGAGAACGACGTTGAGATCTCCAACGATGGCTTTGCAACGTCCTCCGAGATAGGGCCTCTTGGCTTCTTAAAGAGAGCCTCTAGTGGATGTAGTCCTGCCTGTGTTTCTGCCTCCGAAGTGCCATGAGCTGAGGCACTGGAGTTCGTCTCTTCGTCAGATTCTGAGTCTGAAGAAGAACCCGAACTGCTCGTGTCCTCCATTTGGCCCTTGTCAGGAGAGCTAGCATTCATCTCGACTTCATCAGTGCCTTCGCTAGAGGAGGAGGAGGGTGACAACGACGACGATTCAGAAGACTGTCGCCGTCTCTTGCTAGCTTTGTCGTCCACCTGGGCTTGTTGCTTGGTTGTCTGGCGACGCTTGGAGACTCGCTCAGGTTCCTTCTCAATCACATGTCCTTGTTCATCGACCCAGCCTTCACCTTCAACGTACTGTAGATTTCCCTTGATGCCGAGCCCAATATCCTGTCTGATGAAGGAAGGTTGCATTGTGGACTTCTCAAACTCGTGCACTACTCGTTCAGTGCTTTTCTTCTTCGACCTGCCCTTTTCCTTCTTCCCTGCCTCTACATTATCGAGTTTGTTGGGAGGGAGCTTCGTACGAAAAAGCGCCTCGTCTTTGTCGGTATATTTGGAGCTAGACGTGGATGCCTTGCTCTTGTTCTTTTTGCTTGACTTGGTGGACTTCGCTTCGGTCCAGCCGCGTTTCACTTTGCGGTCCACGGGAAGTTCATGGCCCAAAATAACATTGCGCTCTTTGGATTTCTTCGGCTTCCTTCGCTCAGGCTTCACGCTGGGTTCTTCGTCTTTGTCCGACTCCTCGATGCGCCTGCGTTTCTGTGGCCGAGCATCTTCCACTCTAATCTTCCTGCCCTTCAAGATTGCTCCGTTCAACTTCTTCTTTAGTTTGTCGGCTTCCATGGCAGGAAGGTCAAAGTAGCCGTAGTTGTTCTCTGGGAATGTCTGGATCGAGTGATAGGACAAGTTGGCGACCGAATCGAGGAGATGTGGACCAACAACAACTTGAAGAAGATCGGAATTCAAGGGCGTTACATGTAGTCGTACAAATTCAGAGACCATGGCGCAGTCCAAACAGCACGCGCTCGCAAGAGAAAGTGTCCAACACAAGCGCTACCAGATTGACGCCCTGGGCACCAGCTGAATGGGATTTTTGAGGGGAATGTGCTTCAGAGGGACCCCTACCCCAAACGAATCAAGCCAAAGCTTGAATTTGTTCAGGCACAGACTGCGGCGGAAACAGCACCAAGCGGCACTGACGGAGGTACAGGGGGGACGCCAAAGCTTGAAGATCCTAAGTGATGCGGGGACCCGAGGCTTGGGTCACCACTAATGAATTGCAGATTTAGGGAAAGCCTCACTGGTGTCATCATAATAATAATACTTTTAGGTGGCAGATAGGTGGGCAGCCCTGGCAGCCACCCAGAAGATCGCTCTCCGTATCGTTATCGTAGCTGCTCGGATGCTAAGTGCCCCGACCCTTTGAGCCCTGACATTTCACTATTGTCCAGCCTGTGCGTGTTTCCCCTCTGTGCTCGCACTTCCCGTGCATCGTCCTGCTTCCTCTTCTAAGCACCCTGCGTCAAAACAAGACCAAGGTACTTTAACTTGACCTTACTGCAGCGAACTTCGCCATCCCTGGGGAAAATTGGTCTGGTCTTCCTTGCCCTGCGATTTCACTACTGCACGGCATATCTTACCACGTGCATGCACTATGTCCCAGTTTATTTCATCTCACATGGTTGTTTTGCGAGGTCACTGATCACCCAACGACCTTGATTTACATCAGCTTCCTCACTCCACGACGTTGTTTGCCCATCATCCTCAGACTCGGCCTGGGTCTCTTTTACCTGGCCGAACGCTCCGCAACATCCGAATCGTATCCTAACCCTTCGGAAAGACCTGTACCGACCACTGCATTCGAAAACCAACGAAATCTTATTTCGACTCAAAAGCCGTTCGTGGTTGACGCCGGATCCGCAGGACACATCTAAAATGTGGCGATGACTGAACAGATTGGTGTTTCCCAGTAGCAGGAGGTTGCTTGTTGATCCAGAAATACGTCCACCATGGGCAATTCTCAGACAAAGGAAGCACGTGGCCACGGCTCCTCTGGCTCGCGGGTCAGTGGCAGGACGAGCCCGACTCCACGACAAGATGGACAACCAAACAACTTGGAGGTGCCCCTGGGGCCCGCGCACTCCCGACAACGAAGAGGCAGCCGACCCGACTTTTCCTTCCTCGGCATTGGTGGAAGCAGTGATCAGATTGCCAATTCACTTGAGCAGCGACGCGAGACTAAGGTGGAAAGAGAAGCTCGAAAGGCAGAAAAGGAGAGAGCAGCCAGACTCAAAGAGCGGGAGCGCAGTATGAAAGAAGAGCATGTTGATGGGGGATATCTGGTGACCCAAGGCGTCTACGTGGGTACGGAAGACTTCAACAAAGCAATCGTTAGACAGTTCATGGTAGGGCATTATGTCACGGCTACTCATGTGAAGGTAACTGACGCGGTACAGATCGAGCGACGGCTTGCTCCTTTCTGGAGAGGGCTGAACGATTACTCTGATTCGTGGGCAGAGCATCAACTCATGGCTGCCGCTCGCGGCATGCCTATTCCCCCAGCAGATGAAGTGCCTCCTGAGCTTGAATACCAGCTTGCGAAGAGGATCACTACAGACAGGACAAAAGAGTCTGCACTGAAAAGCCTTACGATTCCCATTGGAGGAAGATCACAGTCCTTTCAGTCAGATAGTTCCGCGCCGCTGTCACCACCTCCCAATTCTTTACCACTTCCCTCGCCCTCCTCGCCACTCCCGTCCGGCTCACCGGGGACCAGCACCTTTCGAACGCGTGCCAAAACGCTGGCGTCTCTAGCGACCTCGTCCCGGGGCAATTCTCAAGTAGATATGACTCCGCGAGAATTCCAGCTGCCGCCGGACCCTTTCGTCAATGGACAGCCAATCGAAGTCTACCTGTACAAGGACGCATCTGAATGCCCGATATGTTTTCTATACTACCCACCTTACCTCAACACCACTAGGTGTTGCGAGCAGCCTATCTGTTCGGAATGTTTTGTTCAGATCAAGCGGCCTGATCCTCATCCACCCGAACATGAACAACCGGATCCGAATGCGCCACCTGTATCAGACGCTGAGCGTGAGGCTCAGGCTGATGGTCTACTTGTCTCTGAGATTGCAACCTGTCCATATTGTAAAACCCCCGATTTCGGTATCACGTACACGCCACCTCCTTTCCGGAGAGGGCTTACCTATGGAACTGGGTCTCAACCCTATCAGGTCATGTCTGCCATGTCTTCTCAGACATCAATCTCTTCAGGCAACCTCTCTCCGGGTCCCGGTCGGAGACGAGGGACTTCTTTGTCTGCAAATGCCCCCGAAGTCATAACCACAGACAAGATACGCCCTGACTGGGCAACCAAGCTGGCGGCTGCTCGGGCTCATGCTGCGCGACGATCTGCAGCAGCTACGGCGTTACATACAGCCGCATATCTGATGAATGGGCAGGGAGCAGACTCACGTGCCTTCGCAGCATTCAGCCGCCGCGGAATGTTGAGACGGTCAACCCTAGAAGGGGGAGAGAATGGACCAAGTTCGAATTTGAGTGCACTTGCGATCCTGGCGGAGAGACATGCAGCGCGGCAACAGGAGGCGACCGGAGAATCCCGCGCAGGCTCCATGTTGCCACCACCACGCGGCAGCAGTTCCCGACGAAGTCGCATGGACGACCTGGAAGACATGATGATGATGGAGGCTATCCGCCTAAGCTTGGCCTCCGAAGAAGAACGCCGCAAGAAGGAGGAGAAAGAAGCGCGCAAAGAAGCGAAGAAGAAAGAAAAGGAGACAAAGAAGGCCGAGAAAGCGGCGCGGAAGAACAGTCTTTTCACCCTTAATTCCAACGGTAGTAACGGAGACGCATCTAGCAGCCAGATGGAAAGATCTCGAAGCAATCTCTCTCTCGGCCAAGACGATGACTCTACTGCCAGCAAGGGGAAGGGAGTAGAGCGGAGTGATACCCCTCCTGTGGATGGGGGAAAGGCGGAGGATGAGGCTCCGCGACCATCTTATATTCCAGCTCTGTCGCTGTCCGGGACCAGTCAAGAGTCCTTGGCGAGTTCCATTCCTATCCCGACCGCGGCCGAACCATTCCGACGATCTCATCTGCGGCAGATGTCAACTGCCTCGTCCACATCGTCTTCATTTGTCGAGCCAGGTCCTGCGGCCTCATTTCCGGGCTCCGGGACCCCTCCGCCAGGAAGTCTGGAGCCAATGTTCAATTTCAGAAGTCTAGCCGCCATGATTGGGGAAGATGAGAAAGACAATGATAGCGCTCATGTCGAAAATGCTCCCAGAGACCAGTCGCCAAAGTCTCGGGAGGACTCGCCAGAAAAGGCGCCCCAGAAGGTTGGGGAGAGCTGGGATCATGACGACTCAGACCTTCCTGCATCTTCGGATTCGTCCCCAAGGCGGGACAGCGATGCAGAACCGGTGGCGACAGACAGGAAGCTCGTTGATGAACCACCAACCAGAGTATCACATGTTTGAAGCGTGATGGTGTGTTGTTGGCAGGCACCCCACCGTAGATGGGGCGCAAATTACACCAGGCAAATGTGCTGAGTTCTCTTGCGATCGGTCATGTGCATTTGGCGGTAGCCTGAAGACAAATGGCAATGAAGGCGACTCGATGGCTCTCAGCAACGCGCACGGAATGATAGAATGTTAATTGGATTTTGGAGGTCATGTCACAAAGGTCGGTTGATGCTCGCGTCACCATCGACTCGTTCTCGGAAAATGGACAGTGAAAGGTATGCAGGGGGCAGTGGCAAAGCAATGATGGGGGTGGGATGAACTCCAATGAATCCATGTTCAAGATATAGACATTTGACAGATGTTCAAGTACGGTTCCCGTGCTCATTACACAGACTACAATTTTCCCTTTTTGGGGTTTGCAACTTCACAGTCTTGGAACAAGGGCGTTGAAGGTGCTCTGGCGGTGGATTGTGATTGGCCCAAGGCGACGCGACCTCATGGTTTCAACTTGCGCAAGGAGGATCCGAGACCTTCTTCGTTGGCCCTTTGGTCAAGAGTCGAGACCACTCATTCCTGCCCACGTCCTGCGCTGTCTGTTCCGTGCTCGCCCTGTTCATAGAGGAGAGGTCATTGCAGACTCCCCTAGCTTCTAAGTTCGCCCTACAAAACTAAATTCACCCATTGACCGCATCAAACCGGCTGCTTGTCCTGCTTCTGATGGGCGACCTGTAAAACTGATTGGGAGAAGACATTCTGTTCTCTCCGACACCCATCTTGACAGTCACTGCAGTGCTATCCTCTCATCTGAATCGAAGATGCCCGACCTCAACTCGTTCTCCAGATCACCACGGGGTGGTTCGAATTCACAGGCTTCGGGGACGAGTTCTGCCGCAACGCAACAACCATCCGTGCCTGCGTCAAGGAGAACTTCGACACAAATGCTGCCTCCGCCGCTGCCTCAGAACAGCAGCCTTCCCAGCTCACCCAGGCCAGCGCAGGTGGCTATGATGGACAATACAGGTGTCGGTTTGGGCCCAGGTCAGGAGAATCACCTTTCCCTCGACCAAACAACGGTGGTTGACTGAGAATGGAATTAGGTCCGATTCGACATCCCAGACCTCTCACGGCGGCCGAGTTACACCTGGAACTTGAAAAAGAACAAGAGAGCATTGTAAGCACTTGCCACTGGCGGAGAGAATGGCCTACAAGAGAAGGCACTGACAATAGACGGCTATCAGGTCAATCGACTAACTCGAGAACTGTCTGCGTTACGAGCCCAAACAGCCTCTGTTGCCTCTACCACCTCGTCCACCTCCGAGCAGCTGTTTGCCAATGACCCGTACAATACAACTACAACGGGAACCACAATCATCCCCACGAACACCCGACGTCACCGTTCCTCATCGAACCTCTCTACTCGTTCGGCTCGTTCAATCCGTGAGAGTCTCTCCAATGCTGCCAACACCAGCGTCTCTGGCGTGGCAGCCCCACGAGACCAAAGCGTCCAGGCCAGCG